GCTGAAAGGTTGAATGTCTACCTTGAAGGATTGCAAAGCATACAGTAACTTGTAGATTATGTCTCTGACTTTCAGCACACTTTGTCATCTTGGTGAATAGGAGCTGTGAACCATTTAAAGTGTCACTGTCAATTTATGTCACCCGTTCTCTGCGAAGATCCTGGATTAATAGTCTGCCCCTTCCCTGACATAAGATATTATTGAAATTTTATTATTTAAAATTTACTTTAAATTATCTGAGCCTTGGGGGACAGTTTAATAAATGATATTCTAGCTGCAAGAAAGGATAATATATTGCCAATAAATGTCAGTGTTCAGTAGAATATTTTAATGGCTAAGGAAAATGTTGATGATCTATTGATAAGCATTAAAAGCTGGTTAAAAGTGATGTGCCTCCTGTGACCCACGTTTGTAAAAACAGATAAAAAAGAAACAAATGAAATGTGATAATATCTGTAATAATGTTTGTCCTTGGTAGATGAAACAAAAAATACTTTTTAAAAATTATTTGTAATTTTACAAGTTCCTGAAATTTTCATTTTTCCTGCAAAGCCGTATAGAATGTTTCGAAAGAAAAAAAAATAATGGGTTACATTTTTCTGATTCTTTTCTTCCCAAGAATCTCAGAAACTGCAGTGACATCATTATATTGCTGCTGTCCTCCCAACAGCCCCCATGCCTCCTTCCAGAAAGTTCCTGGCTGTTATGGAGGCCCCACTTTATGGGTACAGTGAGCTGCTGAGGAGTCACCTCCCTGTTTGTGATCAAATTTCTGGGCTTGCTGAACTCTGTGATTCCCAACAAAAGTTTAGGAGGCTGGAGTGGGCAGAGGGGAGAAGCTTTGGAATAGTTTCAGAGGGGAGTCGAGTTCCAATACTGCAGTAGGGACTTTCCAGAAGGGATTTATCAACAATGCAGTGTTACCAAGGTAGGCGAGCTAGCATGTTTTCAGGCCCTAAGTGAGTCCCCAAGGCTGATTGTCAGCTGACTCCAAGGGCTGTAGGAAAGAAAGGGACAGACATATCTCTGAGAGCCCACTAGGTGGCAGGCCCTTTCCTGCCGTGAGTCCATAGGAGTATCTGGAAGGCTTGCCTGGTCTCAGAGTCACTAGAAGGGACAGTTGAAATACAGATTCTGAGGTCGGGAGCATCTCTAGGTGCTCCAATTCAAAGATCCACCTGACCCTCAGGTTCTCCTTTCTTTTTCCCTCTTGTCCTCTTACTAGAAGACTCTCTATGAGGTCCACGCTAATCTCAAGCTCACCCTCCTCTGTGCTTGCATTGTGAGTGCGGTGGTTACAGAGTGAACCATCACACTCCACTTAAACTCTCATCTCTATGAAATGCTGGAAATACTGTTAGTGCCACTAACTGGTGTGCAGCACTGAGCACAGAATAAATCGGCTTGGACCTAGGAAGGGAGGAGGTGGCACAGTCTCTGATGCAGAATATGAGGGGTTCCAGGGCTTTTCACTTAGCACGATTGCTGCTAATAAACCACACAGATGTGCTGCTCAAAATGTTAGCTAGAAACTCCAAACAAGCTCCAAGCAAAATACATTTAAGAGCATTTTACATGTAAGTCAATGATTTGCAGACTGAAATAAAAGACCACTAAGAAATCCCTGCATTAGAGACTTAACACATTCCTTTTCTTGCTTAAGACTTTGACACAGTTCTGGCCACATGTTGCTGACCAGGCAAGTCTGACAGCACCAAACTGGTCTGTGCCTGGCTCAGTGAGGGGCAGTGACTGCTGGTGTTGCATCTGGTTGTGGATGCTGAGAAAGCACTGTGCAAGTTTCCTGAAGCTCGTTCTCCGTTTCTGACCTTGAATTGGTAGAGAGAGATATGGATCGGTTTGCAGCCCACAAACCACACATGAAAGTATTCTGAGCTAGTTAAGATAGACTACAGATTTGGGTGGGGCTTATTGTGTAACTTCAAGCATCCAGTTTATTGTTTTGAAGCACTGAACCCCAAGTAAACCTTTGTGTATCATCAACTCAAGATCATTTGGTTCTTATGGGTGACATCTGGGGTGCTTGGAGTGAGGCTAATGTGTCCTTTGGCTCAAATGTTCCTTTTCCCACAGTTAGACATCAAGCATAATGTTCTGCACACAGTAGGCCCTGTACCTGAACACAGTAGGCCCTGTCCAAGCACTAGAAGATGCATTCAAGAGTAGACTAGAGCATCAACTGCTTTAAGGCTGGTGGCCAGCTAGGAAGTAAATGCCCAGGATGAATGGCCATCAGACAATCTCCTTATGGACTCTACAGATGTAGCAGATCATGGAGCAGACAAGCAGAACCAACTCCCAAGGGAAAAATGAAGGCATCACTCACTGGTGTCCTAATATAGGAGGGAAATTTACTGTCGTTGATTCTTGTGCTGCGTGACTTGTCCACTCAGTTGTCATTTCCCCGCTGAATCAGTGCATGATTTTAAACTCAGATCCAAGTGAACCTTGGTGGTATCTCTGGAAACTTCACAAAGTTTGCCTCTATTGATTTACTTTCAACACCAGAATAATGAAAATTCACTCTAATGATTTAGGGAAAGAGCTGGAAGAAGATCCAAGCTTCATAAAACAGCCCACCCCACTGTCTGTATCTGTTTAACTCCTATGGCTGAATTCCTTGCTAGGCAAGTGAGGAATTTATGTGATGTAAGGATGTATAGCCACAGGGAAAAATGATGGCTGCCATTTAAAGTGCAAGTCAAGTACTGTGATGAATATTTACGTACGGTATCTTACATAGATTTATCAACATAACATATATATGCTTGCTCTAAACATACCAGTGGGAAGGCGGGTGTCCTAGCTCAAATGTGTCAATCTCAAAATGTTGTGTTCTTAGCCCCTGTACTGTAGAATTTTACATCAGAAGACTGACTCTTGTTTGTTTCTCTTTTATTTTTTGACGAGGTCTCCTATTTATCCCTAGTTAGCCTCAATTTGCTATCCCCCTGCCTTAGTTAGCATCCTGTGTGTTGGAACTCCCCCCTCCTCTTACTTTCAAAATATATCAACAAACAAAAGTTTAATATTTTGAACTCTACATGACTAAGAACAAAATCCCTTATACATGATAGGAACAACACTCTGTGCATGAATTAATTTGGGTTCCAGTTGTGAATGAGTCAAACTCTTCACTAGGTCCTTAAATCACGGGGATGCTGGCATTTTGCTGTAAACCAAAGACAGGCATGGTTTTACTGCAACCTATAAAATCTGAAGATACAACCTGCTAGTAAATCTGAACTTTAGTTCAAGTAAAATGAGCACACATCATTAACACACAGAGACCCACTTGTTTTACATCCTGACTCCTTCGGGGAAAAGACTTATTTTGCCATTTTTAAAAAAATATTCTCTTTAAAATTTCAAAGAATTTCTCTTACAGATGTCTGCATAAACAAGACTTTAATAATGGCTAGCTATATCAATGGGCACATTAATGTGCAAGTAGGAAAATTACACAGGTATCACCCCTAGGCAGAGGGTACAGGTGCCTAATGACTGCTGGGAAAGGGAGACCTGGTCTCTCCAGGGGCAGCTCCCTATTGGTTGTCCTGAAGCAATATGTGTGAAAACAACAAAACAGACTAGCAGGTTGTATTTGTATGTTTGTGCATACACATACATACACAATACATATACACACACATACATATACACATACACACACACATACATACATGCACATATATACATATATATGCACATACACACATACATACATATGTATGCAATAATAATAATAATACACTATCGACTGGAGAGTGAGGTGGCATGGGAGATGTTGGAGGGAGGGTACCTGGGAGGGACTGGAGGGGAGAAAGGGAGAAGGGAAGGGAATGTAATGCTATTTCAGTTTAGAACATTAGAACAAACCCTTTATACTTCCAAATAATCAATGTGGAAGTACAAGCATCATGTTTCAAAAGGAACATGGCATTTCTGCCTATTCTTCAGCCAGACCCAAGGAGGCCATCTTTAGATAATGTGTTTCAAATGAAAACATCTGCCTCAATTTCCCAGGGAAACCGAAAGGTACAAAGAGGTCCTAAAATATTTCCAGAAAGGAAGGAGGACCTGGGTTCTTCTTCACAAATGATAAGTGTAACTGTGGCTGATGGTCAAGACAGGCTTCATCATGGCTCCCTTCCTCTTATGTGAGGTATTCTTATTTGACTGTGAGATGTTCAGTTTACAAAATACAATCTAAACTTATCATAAGTAAAAACCAAAAAGCCAGTCATGATAGTTTTAGCGTATGAACTGTGGACTGGCAAAGAATGGGTACTTATAAGAACTAGAACACTTAAAGACACAGACTGGTTTAAGAAGCAAACATTTTGGGCAACCATAAGACCATAAAGCGATCAACATGGAAGACATCTGTCAGGTAGGGTGGCCTGAGGTGAGACAGGGCTAAGTCTTATGTGATCAGAAACTGGGGCACTTTAGCTGGTTTTGTTTCCCCTCATGAGGTGATAACCTCCTAACACCCTAATCTTCTCTTGGTGATGGTGACAGAGGATTTACGGACCACAGACATTAAAATCTCCCTGTCAAGTATGAATCGTCTATGTAGGTTAAAGGCCGGCATCACAATCCCTCTAGCTACTGGTGCAACTAGGATAGGAAACTTATTCATGTGCACACACTCACAAAACTCAGCTCAAAGCAAGTAGATATGAGTGCAGCAATGTCTGCTTCCACTCAGACACAAGCAGAATTAAGAACCAAAATATCAACATATTTGCTCATTAAAAAAATAAGAAGGATCTCTTCCCGAGTGTCGGTGTACGGTGTAAAGTGCTTGCCTTTGGACCCCACTTGTTTGTTTATGTTTAAAAGAAAATTAAAGGTTAAAAACCTCAGGGAGGATCAGCCCGGGAAAGGCAGCATGGACACTAGGCAGGCGAAGAAATGGAGACGCAGTCAGGGGGAGGCGCATGCGTGGTAACGGTCTAGGAGCAAGTGGTTACCTTTACATTTCTTCTCTTCAGTCTGGAAAGTCTGGGCACTTGAGACGCTCTGATCGTTCACATCGTCAGGATCCAGATGGAATATAGAGCTCGTCCAAGTGGCCTGGATGAGGTGTGGGGATGTCTGCTCATTCTTCAGTGCACCACGCCTCTCCACATGGCTCTTCCTGTGCAGGCAGGCTTCAGACATTCCTACCAGCTTCCAGTCCTGGCCTCGGTCTGGACGGGGCTTCTGTTTGTCCCAGGCTGGAAGGCCATTTTCTGGTGGGAGAGGAGCGGAAAACACGAGATAACAGACTGTAGGTATTGCCAAGGTTTTGCTGAGATTTTGCATTTTAGAAGTCCAGTTGTTGCTCAATTCTTTTGGTCTGCCACTGCCCGCAAGCACTTCTGTGATGTCAGGGCAAAGGGCCACCTAAGCTGGATTGCCTGCTGGAGAAACCAACATATTTCCCCCTCTATTTTCCGAACTTCTCTACAGCAAGTCTCTACTGGTCTCACCACTACAGCAGTGGCCCAAGAGCAAGCTGATACCCGTTTATAGCACTGCTTAGATGACCATTTGAGGTCTTGAAAGTCAGAGCTGGCCATGACCTTAGGTCAGATCCTTAGGATACATACATCCAGGCGCAGCCTGGTTTGACTTGGGATCTATCACATGCCGACCTGAGGGACACTGTGTCACTTCAGCTGGCCACACTCAAGTGACTACACATTGAGCCTGACAATCTGTTCTGACTGTCTTCTACTCTGATGGCAAAGCGAAAGAAACAGGAAGGAGCACCAATTATAAAAGACAACACAAAGCAACACAGCTCCCAAGTCTAAACACCTTGATCTTTACATGGAAGTTTTGTGTTTTCAAGGTAGTCCCAACCAGAAACACACACAAGGGAGCAGGTCATGTTTTCTCCTTGTAGCAAATTAAGAGCACCAAAGATAGAAGGATGAGCCTGAATCTCTTAGGCTGGGTACCAGATAGCTAATATTTTATTTGTTTTCGAGTTCGGTCTATGTGGTACATATGTCTGTTTTTAGAATGGGCAAAATTAATTTCTTATGGGAAGAATCTCTTCTAGTAACAATTTTCACCTTATTCAATGCCTTTACTATATAGGAAGATATAGCAGAGGACAGAAATGGTATACACACACACATGCACACACATATACACATACATACATGCACAAACATACACATGCACACACATATCACACACACATACACAAACATACACATCACACACAAAATGCATACACATGCACACACAACATGCATACAAATGCACACACACACATATATACACATCACACACATACACCTCACACAGATACATAACACACATATCACACACATTCCTACATGTATACAAACACACACACACACACACACATACCCCTATGGGTTTAAGTGTCTAAAGTTGGAGTCTATACAGCACACACAAACATCCATATACATACACACACACACACACACACATGTGCACACACACATACATACACACACAGACACACACACACAGACACACACACAGACACACACACACAGACACAAACACACACACACACACACACACACACACACACACACACACACACACAGTACAATTTTACAATTTACCTGGTCCAGAAATTCTTAGCAACTATGTTTCACAATTAGAAAAAAAGGTGGCCATATACACTGATTGGAAGACTAATTTGTAAGTGATGTTTTTGGTAGTTCTGGGTGAATGCATCCAGGGCCTTCTACATGCCAGGCTGGTGTAGCATCATTGGGCATGTCCTTGCTGGGTGTGTTTTCCTTTAAGGCTTTTTCTTTGAATCACCTGTGAGCTTAAGTGTCTACTGTTGGAGTTCTGAGCTGACTAATGTGGGTACTAGAACCAAACTTGCATCTTTGGTAAGAGCAGCGGCAAGCACACTGCATTGCTGAGCTGTCTCTCTAGCTCCCGGTGCAGGATTTCTTTGCATAGTAAATGGAAGCACGAGGGTTTGAAGTAGCTCATAGGAGAATCCTATTGTGCTTTGGGCTTTGGGTTGTACCAGTTGCTCTGATTCATGGAAATGTACTGGAAATTGTCCATGCTTAGGATTGTGTGAGCCATTGTATTAGGCAGGTTAAACAAACACGGGTGCTTTTTCTTGGGGTTTATGAGGTATTATTCATTGCATGATGAATCAACTCTTCCACTTTCCAGCCATACCCACTGCTGGTGCAATTACAGGCATTTATTCTCACTATCCCTTGAAAGGAAAGAAAGATCTTTGAGAATGTATTGCATTTCCAACTAAACATATCTGTGTAGAGTTCATTCAGGCACCTATTACCCATGAGGGTTTAAGCTTCATGTGAATTAGTTACTAAGTGGCTGAATGCAAAGGTTAACCATGGGTCTGGTTTACTTTACTCCCACGGACACGAGGAAGCTCACCCATGCGCATTTCTGCTCCCTATGCCTTACTTTCAGAGATTTATTCCCCACTAAATTGTACCCTGTAAAGTTCAATTTAAAGAATATTAAAGTTCTCAGAGGATTTTTTTAAAGCTTCTAGTATATAATCTTTTTGCATTAATTTCTAATTATGGTAGTAATTCCCCAGCCCTAACAATAAATGAAGAAATCAGGCAGTTGCTATTCCTTATTGAATCTGGGCCTCAGATGAAACACATCTAAGGAATGTCCACCCAAATGAGACATTTTCACTCAAAAACAGTGCTCGTTAAAAGCTTGTTTTGCATGTCCCCTGGGCCAGCAAGAGTGGGTTTCTTCTAGCAAGGGAGACTATGTTTGGGATAAGGTGAGCGAGAGCATTGCCTTCCACTTTCCTAAGAAAATCACTTGAGATGGTTTGGGGAAAGGGCTCCATCAACAGTAGGCATTTACAAGTTCATAATTACTGTCTGTAATTATATTCACAAGAATGATATTCAGTTGCTTAATTGGCAGGTTTATGGGATACACACTGCTGGGAAAACTCGAGACTGAGAAGCCCTGGCTGGGTCATGGGAAAATGCAATATGGATTTCTCTAAAGAGAATACTTGATTTTATCCACTCAAGAACTGGGAAGTCCATGCAATTCTTACTGCATTCTCAAGAAGGCATGGGACACCCCCTGTGTCAGGTCCATAAATTCTAGTTGTTGGGTGTTTTGTCAATTTTACCAGCTCCATACATATGCAGCTGGTAAAATGTCTTTAGGATTTTTTTCCTATGACTATATCATGTGTCCATATCCTTTCACTCCCCCAAAGCTCAAGCCAATGGATTATTTCCTTTTAGAGGAATGAACATCCTCAAGGGTCAGTTGTGACTCCCAACCCTGGCACCTATCAGAATCACTGCAGGTGCTAATCACAGCATTGAAGACCTGACTTTTTAAATTGGGCAAGAGTCTCAGGATGTGTGATTCTGTTGAGTTCTCCAGGTGAATGAGACACCTCAGAGTTTGAGACCCAAAGATAAACTTAAGGTAATAAAACAAGTTATTGGCACTTGAAATAAATTATATAGTTTCTAATCCTCTAACATCTTTTACACAGCCATAGATAATCTTCCAGTTTGTTTTTATTGTCAATTTGATACAACCTAGAGTCACTTTGGAAGAAGGAACCTCAATTGAAGAACTGCCTTTTTTTCATAATGGCCTGTAGCCATGTCTGTGAAATACTGTCTTGATTGATGATTGGTGTGGGAGGGCCCAGCCCACTGTGAGCATTACTATCTATAGGTAGCTGGTGTAAGAAGCTTGCTGAAAACGTGCCAGTCAGCAGCAGTGTTTTTCCACTGTTTCTGCTTGAATTTCTGTCCTGACTGCCCTCAATAATGGACTGTGACCTGGCAATGTGAGGTATAATAAACCCTTTCCTCCCCTGAGTTGCTTTAGGTTTTGTTGTTTATTACAGCAACAGACAGAAATCTAGGTAGAGAAGACTGTACCAACATTTACAAATCCTTGAACTGTTGTTGGGTCTACCGAGCAAAGCTATTAGGTGCTGGTTGGATATTGAAGATTGCAGGCATGGGTATAAGTAAGTTCTTATTCAAAGAGATGCTTTAGATATGCTCTGGAACACACCACACATAGTGTTAGAAATGAAGCGTTTAAAGGCTCATTGGTAGAGGGCACGGTTAGCACACACGAGGACTCAATCCCCAGAACCACAGTAGCACACATAGTACCAGACATAGTAGCACAGATCTCAGCAAGAGATGGCAGCAGCAGGATCAGGAGCCCAAGGATCAAGGTCATTCTTGGGTACACAGAGTGTTTGAGGCTAGTCTGCCTTACATGAGACTCTTTTTCAAAAACAGGAGGGAGCCAGTTCTTTGTTGAGTGTTCATCAGCACTGCAAAAAGGGGAGGATCTTAGAAATAATCATATCTTATAATTCACATGATCTAAACCATTTGTTCTTAGCTGATATCTGGCTTTCAACATGATGTTCTACATGAAAGCATTAATCAATATAACTTGTCAGTTATAATACAAGTTAATAGATGAAGAAAAGTCAACAACTTGGTGGGACACGGACTAGCATTAGAGCAACATGTACCTGAGAGACAAATTTGTCTCAGAGAGTTTAGAGACAGATGGTTGAGTCTTCATTTCATTGCTGTCATTCTAATGGCTTTAGATGCTACAATACTGACCTAAACAGTCTTTAGCAAACAAGAAATGAACATAAACTTTAATAACTTAACCACCTACATCCTATTTTTGCTAAAAGTGATAGAAAATGAATCTGTCAAAGAAGGAAAATTGTACCAAAGTATTCAAGTATTTAAGAACATAAAATCCAGCTGATATCTTAGAAAAGAACTAAAATAAAGAAAGCAAGATTCCGAGTAAGGGGTCAGAAGGGTCATCTGAATAGGCAGGGATTTCCCATTACACAGTCTGAAAGTGTGTAGCTTGTATTAAAAGGCCATTGATACAAGATATTGAGTCAGATGATGTACATACATTAGCTGAAAACCCTGGGTGTGTAGAATTGTGAAGATCAGGTCATTAAAGATTTATTTTGATATGTATAAGTGAGTTTGTGTGATGTTGTGGCATGCTACGTGCATGGGGGCACCTGTGGACGCCAGAAAGGGGCATCAGATCACTAGGAGCTGGAGTTACTGCCAGTTATGAGCTGCCTGACACCGGTGAGGGGGGGACCCAACTCGGGTCTCTCGCAGAGCAGCCAGTGCTTTTAATCATCTTTCTGGGGGTCTCGCGCACCCAGGACTATTTCCCACCTGCTAAGATGTCT